ATGCCTCTGTGTGTTAATAACCATAATTAAATAACTACTTAAATGAATAATGAGGCAAATGAACAGCATTTCACACATGGCACAGTGGTAAGAGCTCTCGATTTGGAATCAGGGTAGGAACTCAGGGACTGGGTTCAAATGCCAATTCTGTCCCTTGCCCTTATGTATGGCCCTTAACCTCTCTGGGCCTAAGTTTCCTCCTCTGGGCTAGCACCTCTTTGGAATTCAGTTTCTCCTTCTGAAATTAAGGGGGTTGGGCTAGATCATTTCTAATGTCCTTTCCAGCTCTAACATTGTATGGTTCTGAGTTTTTTCTTAATTTTCTCAAGGTAGCAATTTTCCTTAACTTTTGGTTGTGTCTGCACAATAAATCCTAGCAGTCCTGACATAGGTGTAGAAAAGGAAGTTGTTTGGCTTCATCTTTTGCAATTCAGCTAGTCCTTGTTGGCTTTGGGTAAATACTCCTTCTCTGTTCCTATAGCCAACTCTACACCAGACAACATTCCTAGGACCTTTCTGGTCACTAGCATTTATCTCTGCCCCTCATCATCCACAGATTTACTTATAGGTAAATGCATCCATGTGCTAAGTAAAAACACCTTTGCATGAGATAACCAGATAATTAAAGCTAAAATCAATCTGTCTTAACAGTCCAAAGTCAGATAGAGATCTGGAAACTCTCTAAGTAACTTGATCTGTGTAAACTTGTAACTAGGACAATTCAGCACTCTAAAGTGGGTTATTTGGAAGAGACCTCCCCATTCCCACATTCAAGCATCCTTTCTCTTGCTCCACCCTACCAAATCAGGAGAAATCAAGCCCTTCTTCACCTTCCTCCAGCTCTGATCTCCTCCACCTTTTCAACATCTCCAATTCAACTGACAAAAATCTACTGAGGGAAAAAGACCAGTTAAGTAGTCTTCCAGGGAAGCTGGGAGGCATGAAATGCCTCACTTGTATTTTAACCCAGGGGCCAAAGAAAATTCATGATCTGGAGAGGTCTTTAAGATAAGGACACAGCTTGTTTCAGTGTGTGTGTGTGTGTGTGTGTGTGTGTGTGTGTGTGTGTGTGTATGTATTTAATAAGGACACCTTTGTGTGATATAACAAAATAATTAAGGCTTCAATAGATCTAGCTCAACAACCCAAAATAAACCAGAAACTTGGCAACTCTCCAAATAACTTGATGTGTATAGACATGTAGCCAGAACAGTTTAGGCTTCCAAAGTGGATTGTTTGGCTCAAATGATTCCATTTGGATATCTATAAAGATCAGATTCACCAGAGAATGTCTTCGATTCTACAGTTTTCTTGAAACTCTCCTATAGACAGATGGTCAGCTCTCAGTCCTGAAGAAATTTTCTTTCCAATTTAGTCTCTTGTCTCAGAGAAGTCACCACTTCTGGGAAGGACTGATCCTATCTGTCTTGTTTTTAAAGATCTGTAAGAAAGGTGTCTCTATATCCTTAAGTTGCCCTTACAAGTACTGAACAGAATGGAGCTAACAAGATATTTCTGCTATCTTACTTGAATCCATCCTGCTGTGCCTGCAACTACAGTACTTGTTTCATCCTCAGATATTAAAAAAGATAGTTGCTATTCTTTTTTTTATACCATTACCCTAGAAAACAGATATTTGTTTTTCTCTACCCAAACCAAATCAACCTTTTTCAATGGAGTTTTCATGTACTGAAATATGAGCTGTATACTATAAGATACTAAAGACTATATTTCATATGCAATTATGTATAGCATGTGCATATTTTCAATGGTTAGCTCCACTGGAGGAAAAATAGAACAATCCAATACTATGGTGTAGAACACACTTGAATGGTCCCCACTAGATTAATGATAGTTCAATTAACTTGATTTGACAAGATCATTAAGAATTCAGGCTCAGAAAGAACACCAAACCTCAGATAGAGGAAAGCTGCCAACTTGGAGGAAAGTATTAAACTTTGACCTTGGTTATCCAAAGGGTCCTTGGGATCTGGTCTTGTCACGATGTTGAGTAAAAAGAACAGTTCTGAGTACATCAAGAAAGGAAGTGTTTGAGATTCTTTGATCTTACAAACACGACCATCCTCCTCCTCTCCAAACAGGGACTGGCTCTGAGATTTAAGGTCCAATTAGATTCCCATTCCAATTAGAATGGACTGTCATGCCAGCCCAGGGTTCTGGTTGATCCAGAAGATGATTACTTAAGATAACTTCAATTTCAAAAGTGTGTTTTAATTTTTTTGTGATGATTGGAAATTATTAATTGTTTGGTTTGGACATCTGTATAGATTGAATGTACTAGAAAATTTGATTGACTTCAGTTTTATTTTGGCTGTATAGACATGTATGTACAAGAGAAAGTATACCCAAACTGTAAACCCTGATGAATTGGAGGGAGTTTTGAGTTCTGCAAAGCTTGGTCTATACAGCCAAAGGAAATCCAGCCCAATCCTTGGTGAATTAGGCACTGTTGAATTGTCATTCAGAGAATTCAGGCCAAAGGAGAATTAGGACTGGAATCATTGTGGCTGGGATTACTCTAGCCTGTGTCAGTCATATTTGATAGATGAGTAGAATCTCAAAGTCTCTTCCTATAAAGTCTCACAGAATTCCAAATCTAGAAGTAACTTTAGAAACTGCCCAGTCTAATACCCTCATTTCACAGAGGGGGAAACCAAGGCCCAGAGGTACAGAATAACTTTTTCCAAGACATACAATCCCTTAATGTAAGAACAACCACATTTCTGGAATTCCAAATCAGGCCTATCTCCACTGTTCCATGAAGCATAGGGATTGAAATAATAGGCTTTCTATTCTATTGCCACTATCTTGGTTCAGGCCCTCTACACTTTATCGCTTAGTCTTAGAGTGTTCTAATAGCCTTCTAACTGGTGTCCTTACCTTTACAGTCCCTCCCCCAATTCATCCTTCATGTTACTGTATAGTTAATTTTTTTTTTCAGTAAACTGCTATCTAGAGTTTTTTGGGTTTTTCTTTTCACTTTCAGGTTCTCAAGTTGTCTTGTGGTGTCCTATGTGTTATGTGGTGGCCTCACTGAAGAAGGCCCTCCCACCTTGGGGAAGAGTGGGAGAGGAAGGGAGGGAGAGACAGACATTAGTGTTATATTCATTTGATTGACTCAAATTGGTATTTTTAGCTTCTTTCTCCTGAACTTCGGGCCCCCATTTTCCAAACTCTGCTGAACATCTACTTAGATGTGACATAGGCAACCCCAATTCAGCATGTCTAAAAACAAACCATTTTCCCCCAAACCTGACCATCTTCCTAACTTCTTTATTGCTATGGATGTACCTATATTTAGTCTCTACCCCCTACTTCCATTTCATACTTTACATTGCCGGTAGATATGACACACCCTTCCTCAAAATTTTTCAGTGGCTTTCAAGAGGCATTGCCTAGAAGACAAAATACAAACCTAGAATTCAAGACCAGACAGTTTGGTTCCAACTTGCCTTCTAGTCTTATCTCATACTACTCTCTTCCATGTACTCTCTTCTTAGGTCAGACTGGAATATTTACTTATCCTGTTCTTACCCTTCCCTTTTCTACTTTTGCTTAAGGGGTCCTCCCCATTTAGAATAGACTCCCTTCCATCACACAGATGCATCTCCTATTGAAATCTGACCCTTTCTTCAAATGTATCTGCTTCCCTTCCCAGAATCAGTGCCAACCCCTTGATGAAGCCTTCTCTAATTCCTCCCCATGAAAGTGAGCTTCCCTGTAGTACTATTTCTACTGCTTTTATGAACTTATAATTATTTGTGTCTCCCTCCACCCACATTCCAATGGGATTACAAGCTCCTTGAGGGCAAACACCATATATTGTTTTATTTTTCTATCCCTGGTGCTTAACCCAATACCCTGAAGAAATAAGTTTGTTTAAGTGGCTTGAGGAAGGTGCTAGGGCTTCCCAGAAACCAGGCACAGTAAAGACAAAACTAGGCTGGGGCAGAAGAGAGATACTGTGGAGTGAGAAGAGACATTAGAATTGTCCCCCATCCATTCCAAGGAAAGTACTAAAATGGGAGAAATCTTCAGAGTATCATAAAAACAAATGAGTTGTTTTAGGGAGAAAAGTACTACTACTCCACTTTACTTGCTTTTTCCTCTCTATTTCTTCTTTTCCTCTCCTGCTTCTTCTCTCTGCCCCATTATCCTTTTCTTTTGTTCCTTCATTTTCCTCTCTCCCTATTTCCACTGCAGTGACCACTGTCCTTTCCCCCTCCCCCCCCATCGAATCCCTGTCTTTAGCAAAGTTCCCAGCTGTGTCCTCCCTTCCCCCACAATCCTATGTCCTGGGGCTTAAAATTGTGATATGTTTCTTTGGGGGCAGGGGGTGTATATGAGGAAAATATAAAGCCCCTTCTGAATTCTTCGATGATCTGCTCTCTTCAAGGTTATGGCAGTGAGTTTTATTATGGTTAAGGAAGAGTCCAACATGAAGAGGAAAGGGTAAGATTTGATGAACTTTGAAGGGATTCCATTCATCTCTCTCTCTCTCTCTCTCTCTCTCTCTCTCTCTCTCTCTCTCTCTCTTAGACTGGGACAAACTGATCATAACCCAAGGGCAATTACTTTGGAATGACTTCAAGGGATGAGCTTGGTCTCCTTTCCTACAACAGAGTTGGCTCATTGATATAGCAGAAAGTACTTCTTTTACCTAAATACCTCACCCCAAGTTTTTTGAGTCCTGGAAGGTAGGAGAAAGCAATAGGTTCTTAGCTGAATTTCAGGAGAAGGCATCAAAACAAAGACAAACTGTTTCCCTCCCCAGACAAAAAGCCAGAACACAGAAGACTTCTTTGCAGAAGTACATATCTACTGCCTTCATCTTTCTTTGTGGGCAAGTTGAGTGAGTATTGTATTTAGTCATGAGTTTATGACCTCTAAATACATCCAGGAAAATAGCAGGGGTCTCTAAATGCTGACCCAACTTAGAACCTCAGCATATATAGCTAAATTGGATTTATAATGAGGAGGCTGAAGAGGGACTGGGTGCCTTCCAGGGAGATCTCATCCTTACCTCCCTTCCTCTCCTGAGAGAGACAGAGTTGGCACTTTTAGTGGTTTCTGGGTTAACATGCTTGGTTACTGAGTACCCCCTGAACTCTTGGCCTCCAGAGGCTGCCCCAGTCCTGGCTGCAGGCCGGGCAGACACCCTGACAAGTAACAAATGAATGTAGGCAGTGGATTGTTCTGAGCCTTGTCTGCCTTGTCTGCTTTGTCCGGAGGAGGAGAAGAATCAATGGAGTCTACCTGAGAGGGCTTATTCTTGTCTATGGAGGTAAGTGTAAAAGACTGCTGATTCTGCCCCAACTCTAACTCCAACAGAGACATCAGGAAATCAAGACATTTGGCCCCTAAATCAGATGTGGGTAAGAGTTTCAGAGATTGTTAGGACACCAGCCCTCAAATCTAATGATCTTCTTTTCCCCATCTTTTTCTCTTTTTCTGCTCTGGAAAATGGATAAATGATCTGTACAAATGTTCAGAAATTTCCCCACTACTGAGTCTGATAAGTGCAAGCATGGGTGGCTTGTTTGTTTTGGATGGGGATTGAGGACATAGAAGGAATGATCTGCAGCCGACATCGGCTTCATTCGCCAGACACTGATTCAACAATATCCAATTCACTTTGCCCTATGTACACACAACCTCAGTCTCCATCTTAGAAGAGAAGCTCTCCAGAGAGTAGGAAGGCAAGAGTTATTTCATTCTGAAAAGTCAGTAAGATCAGTACAGCTATGGATGGCTAACTAAAGTATAAATACATCTAGAAAGATGGATTGATGGAGAGTTAAAGAGAGACTATAAATATGGAGGGAGATGGACGAATAGAGAGATGGATTGAGACAGAGAGGATATAAAGAGAAACTGAAAGAGGGATAGATGGCTGGATGATGAGGGAGACCATCTATATGTAGAGAGGAAAAGTGAAATGACTCAGCAGCTCCTTTCCAATAGTCTTTATATCTGTAGTGTTCTATCACTAAAAAGTCCTGTTCCTCTACCTGATTTAATGAACTCTTCCTGACATGAGATGCTGCCTCTCCCTTTCAATCTGTCTTTACATTCTCCCAGTCCCTAGGGTTCCCCCCTTTTGACCCTAGATAATCACACTCATTCACCCACCTACCCACCCACTCACCCACACATCCTCACCCTGATCACCAAGTGACAAATTGGGAGAAGAACTGGGTGGGATAGTCGGAAACCATGCTGCATTCCCTACCTCTGTTCCTGCAGTCTCAGAACGAAGCCTCCTTTGGGGGCTGGGGGGAAGGGCTGGGGGGCAGCTGGGAACCGAGTTAGCCAAATCTAATAACTCAGGTCCTCTTTAAGACTTGGGGGGTGGGGTGAGGAATATTCTTGGAACTCTCCCCCCCTTCCCTGGCTCCTTCTTTCCCAAAGTCTTTGAAGAAAGATGTTTTTGACGCTTTGGTGTCCCGCTCAGATGGATGGTTCCGGGCTTGATTGAAGTGTCTTTGTCATGCTAATGCCAAGGGGGTGATGGATGGGCGCCAGGGGCTGCCAAACTCTGGCCAGTCGCTGCCCATTGGCCTGGGAGGAATCACATGTACCCTCCCCCATTCTTCTACCCCTTTCCCCTAGGGGAGCTCTGGGCCGAGAGAACCCAGGGACAGCCATGGACGGAAGTCTCAGCGCTTTGACATACTGCCTAAAGGTTGTAGGGCAAGAGGGTGTCTCCCCCAAAACGGGCTGACCCTCCTCCATCCTCAACGCATGGACTATAATAGGATGAATTCCTTCTTGGAGTATGCACTCTGTAACCGGGGTCCTGGAGCCTACAGCTCCCCTACCTCTTACCCTCCTTGTTCAAGTTCTCCCGGTGACAGCTATGGCGGGGAACCTCGTTATGGAGGGGGTCTCCCCAGCCCTGTCCTTCAGCAGAATCCAGGCTACCCCACACAGACTCCATCAGCATTGGGGGTCCCCTTCACCAGCTCTTCACCCTCGGGGTACACCGCACCCACCTGCAGCCCTGGCTATGGCCCCTCCCAGTACTACTCCTTGGGCCAACATGATGGGGACGGGGTCTATTTTCAGCAGTCTGGGTATGGGAGCCAGCTGGGGGGCTTATCGGAGGGCTATATCACGGGAGAGACTGGAGCAGGGCCCTACCCTCCAACACAGCCCACTTATGGGACCGAGCAACCTTCGGCCTTCATTCCTCCCTATGGGGATCTTTTAGCGGAGGATAAGGAACCACCCTGCCCCTCGGAGCTGAGCACGCCCACCACCCAAACCTTCGATTGGATGAAGGTCAAGAGGAACCCTCCAAAGACAGGTAAGCTAGGGCTTTTGGGGCTGTAATGCAAGGGAGAGCAACTTCCCAGCCAAGTTTTGAAGATTTTAGAAGGGTTTGGTGTTCTGAGGCAATTATGGTCTTCCCTGACGTAAATTCTACTTTTCAGAGCAGCAGGTAAGGAAGGCAGCCAGTAGACTTTAGTGCCCTTCTTTCTCATTACAACACAATTTAGTTCGGGTCTTAGTGGTGAGAAAATTTGAAGCCCCCAATCTGACCTCCGTGGGGCATCGTCCCCATCCTCTACTATTCTCCACCTTGCTCTTCGTGGTAGGTGCCTTCTCCCCACCCCTCAGCACTCGTTTACATCTCAATTCTGGCCAAAGCAGAGAGGCTTATATAGACTCCATTGTCCCAGGAGCTAGGGGTGGTGGTGGAGTGGATTTGGTGTATGTAGGAGGAAGACTAGGGGCGGATTTGGGGAGAAGGCCATGGGGAGTCTTGGGCTGTAAACCTGAAAAAGAGAAAGGTCCAAGATGGTGAACTGGAGGTGGAAGTCTGGCGCTGGAGGTGGGGGTGAATGGAAGAATGGGACAGAGGGAAAGAAGGGTAGAAGAGGAAGAGGAGAGGGAGGGAGATGAGAATACAGAAAAGGAGAAGCGGTGGAAAGGAAGAACTTAGGGGTGGATGACAATTATTCTGACTCTATTTTTCTGCACACCACCCACTTTTACCACAGCAAAGGTTTCTGATATGGGCCTGGGCCCAGCAGGAGGCATCCGCACCAACTTCACAACGCGGCAGCTGACCGAGCTGGAGAAGGAGTTCCACTTCAACAAGTACCTGAGCCGGGCCCGACGGGTGGAAATTGCCGCAACACTGGAGCTCAATGAGACGCAGGTCAAAATTTGGTTCCAGAACCGGCGGATGAAGCAGAAGAAGAGAGAGCGGGAGGGAGGGCTGGCCCCTGCAGTGCCCCCAGGCTCCAACAAGGAAGCTGCGGGAGATGCTTCCTCCGACCAGTCCGCTTGCACCTCCCCAGAAGCTTCACCCAATTCGGTCAACTCCTGAACTAACCACAGAACCCAAGGGATTGTTCCTGGTTGGCGTCACTCTTTCCTCTTCCAGAGCCCTCAAAATATCCCCTAATGGGGTGTCTACTTCGTGCGGCCCCAGGGCATTCCCCCCTTCTCAACCCTTGAACGCCGGTGGCCCCCAGGATACTTTGTAGGAGGCCTCGACTCGTTCTCTCTGGGGATTATTGTGCGTGTATAGGAACATGTATAGAGATACCAGGATGGGGACTGACTGGGCTGGCATTCCTGGTCTCTTTCACCCCCACTGCCAGAAGGTTGGGGGCAGCCAGGGATCCACTTTTGCAGAGGGAATCACAGTCGATCAGGTGACCTATCCTTAGTCTCACTGCCCTTTTCTCTCTTCAATTTCTCTCCTTGGTTCCGTTTCAGTGCCTTTGAGCTCCGAGGACTCAGTCTCTCTTCTTTCCTTTCTTCTCCCCCACTTGCCTTGCCACTCACAAGACAGCAGAGTATTTGTGTATCCTAGGGTCGATTTGGGGGGGGGGGTGAATTAGTATTCTTGTGAGTATCTCTAAAGTGGACATTGTTAATGCTAGTTGCCTTGTGACAGACCAAAAAGAAATTTTTTTTCGGACCTAATCTATAACCGTCTCCCAGTCCAAGTCCTTGTCTCTCTCCCTCACACCCTCATTTTGCACTAATGCTGCGGACACTGGCTCCCTCCTCTTCCCATCCCCAACCCCCAGCTCCTTCTCACCCCAATCCCCATTGTCCATATTTCCTTACTTGAGATTGAAAAGAAATGTGGATCACAAGGTCTGGGCCTGGGCCTGGGCCTGTCCCTCCACTCCCACCTAGAGAAGTGGCATGCTGCTTCTCAAAGCAAGTAGATGCCTGCTGTGCTCCTTCCTTATTTATTGAGTACTCTAACCCCAGGACATTCTTTCCCGGACTTTGGAAGGCGAAGCAGAAACAGGGGGTAAGGTGCCATTACCTGAATAAGACTTAAAGAAACACCCTCAACTCAGAATCGAAAGGAAAAAGAACCATCAAAGTGGATAGTATTTTAGAACTGAAATTCAACTCTGTAAAGAAACCAGGAGTTTCTGTGCGCTGGAAACATTGGATCCTAAACAAGTCAAATTCCCTCTCTGTATTTCCAACTACCTCATTCCAATAAAGGTTTTTGCCCCCTTCTTACCTCCTCGTTCTGCTCCTCCAACTCAGGAGAGCAATATTGAATTCATTCAGATGGTCTTGATGAAAGGGGGCAGAGGAGGATGGAGAAAGGGAAAGGGAGTTGGCTAAAACTTATAGCTAGATAAATTTAGACCCAAATAAGACAATCAGGTCTAGAACCCTGGTGTCCTAACTCACAGGCTACTTATCTGCAGGGAAAGAAATGAGTAAGAAAAAGTGGGGAAGAAGAAATGGGGATTAGTATAGCAGATCATTGATAAGAAGAAAGTAAGAGGAGAGGGCTAGACAGAAAGGGCTGACAGAAAAATAGAGAAGAGGGCAAAGGAGAAGAGGGAGACCAAAACCAAGGATGCTTTGCAATGACAGAAAGGCAGAGGGAACAGAGAAAAGGAATTGGAAGATGGAGATTGTTGTTTCCCCCTTTTAATTCTTGATGACCTAGAAAAGATTTTAAAGGAAATACTGACAAAGTCCAGAATGATAGAGATATTGCCTGGTTCCCTGCTTCTTCCTCTGAGCAGCCTCCCCAGGCAACAGAAAGGAGGAAGGAGGGTGAACCTGGAGAGGCACGGAAGGCCAGACCTGGGTTGTTTATCTGAACTCCAACCTCTTCCTGAGCTGCCATGTCTGATTCTGAAGACGTCACCAGGAAAACTATCATTTTCCTGCCTTTTCTCAGTCCAATATATCTCTTCTCCCCAAACTCACACTATAAACGGAAAGCAAAGAAAACGGAGACTAGAAAAGACAAAGAATCAGAGAAAGAGAAAGGGGAATAAGAAAAAGTAAAAGAGGAGAGGATAAGAGGAGAGAGAGAAGGAGGGGAGGGGCAGGCGGCGATAGAGGAGAATGGCAACCTAGGGGAGTCCGAGAAGGGACTGAGCAATTCAAGGGGTTGGGTGGACTGGTTAAAGGCAGCAGGAATAACCTCCGGATACAGAGATGACCTTTTTACCTCAAGGCGCTTCTGGGATTTTTAAACATGTAAACAGAGTAGCTTCAGGAACCACTATTGTCTTCTCAGCGGTCAAATTTACAAACCTTTGGTTGAAGTAGGTAGGGGGAAGGGAGTCAGGAAGCTACGTGTCGGGAGAACAAATCTTCATTGCTCATTTGGCCCCAAAGCACTGTCCAGATGATGCGGTGGGTCTTCCTCCATTCTATACACTCCGGTTTTTGTTTTTGTTTTTAATATCAGCTGTTCTGGGAAGCACAGTTCACCCATGGATAGGGCTTCTGGTTGAAGTGCCTGTCCCAGGCATCTTATCTGCCAAAAAGACAATTTAATTTGTTTCTTTTGGAATAAAAAGTAAGAGGCTGTAAGGGCCTGGGATATGTATAACAGATATAAAATACACTTTTAAAGAAGCCAATAATATTTATTGTTATTAACATTTGTTATTTGCTATTATCAATAATTACCCAGTTTCAGGCAACAGAAACCCAATGTCACTATGAGATGTTTAAAAAAGGTTTCCAAAATGATCACCTTCTCTTGTCTCTCTTACCTTGGCCCCCTCTCCCAAGTCCATTCTATACATACACACTTTATTTGCTTTCTGCCAAGGTTGGCATCCAAAGTAACTCATTCACCACAACCACACCCAAACAAAGACCAGAGAGTCACGGAGGCCCCCCCCAAGTAACTCCTTTGTGGAATAGACCCTCTTCTCCCCACCCCTCTCTGGACTCCTAGTTCATAGGGCCTTGGGTCACTGAAAGATCAGGTCAGAGGGAGTTGAGTCTTCCAGTTAGATTATTTGTAAGAATTCCAGGCCCTAGGGATTGTAGAAGTGGGCTAGAAAGAGTGGAGCAGGCTGTGGTTAGAACCTATGAGAAAAGAAAGAATGAGTAATCCTGTAGGGATCAGCTGGTGGAATGTGGGGCTCTCATTCCTCCCGACAGGTCCTAGATCCAGAAAATGAAAGGGGAAGGGCTGCAGAAGGTTTGATTTCCCTTTACAACAGAAGGGACAGAGTCAGATTCCCCTTGGGGGGTGGAGGGCAAGAGCTCTCTATTAGCAACACAGAGGCTATGAAAAAAATCTGACCCCTCCTCTCTCCCTCTCCCATTCAGATAGGGCTGTAAGAAAAGATCTTGGATGCTAATGACACTAGACTGTTCCCTTTCTAACTCAGCTCCCAGACCCTCATCTCCATCTCATTGGGTTGGAGGTTCCTGAAGCATCCTCCACCCCCTTTCTTCAGTTTAAACCCCAATTTCTCACCAAAGGTTCTAAGGCTCAAACCAGCCTATGCGGTCCCCATTATCTAGATTATCCAGAAAGGAGTAGAGAATACCCTCTCCCTGTTACCTCCATAATAAAGAAAGGAAACAAAATTTTTATTCTCCATTGTAGAAAACACAGCGTTTTATTTGACTCAAATAATCTGGACTGTCTGCCTGTGGTAATTCACTGGGCTATTATATAAGAGAGACTTAAATTTTAGATTTGATGAGGGAATTGAAAAGGGGGGCAAGAAGGTCTTGGGATGTGTGTGTGTATGCATGTGTGTGTGTGTGCGTGTGTGTGTGTGTGTGTGCATGTGTGTGTGTGTGTGTGTGTGTGTGTGTGTGTTTCCTGCTGTCCAAGTTGGGAAAAAATAAGTTGTGGGGTTTATTTTTTAAGCTTGAAAAGGTTATTTCTTTATCAAAGCCCTCTCTCTCTTCAAATCCCCACTCCAGCTCCATCTTCTAGAGTTCCATGAAAAATGTTTCCTAAGTTAGAAGAAAAATAAATCCTAATTCAGAGCGAACATTTGTTTCTTGGTTTGTTTGGTTTTTTCCCTTCTCTGCACCCTCCTAGGAGAGATTCTTGCTCACTAGGGGAGGGTTGGAAGTTTGTGTATGAAGCTTCTCCTGGCATCTTGGAGGCCCTTGGGAGACATCCTGGGTAAGCAATAAGATGGGGTGGTTGAACCCTCTCTTCTCAGGCAGCTGAGAGCCATCTGTTCTTCACCCCTCAGTGTGAACTTTTTCTCCCTCATTCTCCTTTCCCCATAGCGTTTGCTCTCCCTACATGAGGCCTTTTGATCTCTGGGAGCAGGGGAGTGGGAGAACATTGATGATTTTCTTACTTTTAACTCAGGAGTCTTTGTTAGGAACATCTCTTGAAACTGTGACTGCTATGGGGGGCTGGGTACAGTGTAGAGTGCTGCTGGTGGTGATGGGGTACGGGGAGGCAATGAGGGTGGAGGCATTTGGAAGTCTGGGAAGAGGGTGAAGGCGAAGAGACAGGAAAGTTGGGGAGGGCAGGAGGAATGAGAGAGTAGGGAAAATAGACCCTAACTGGGTAGCCAAGAACAGCTAGCATCTAGCCAACAGCCCTTTCTCCTCTCTCTGTTCCACCCCACCCCCAAACCTCTCTGCCCCTAAATCTCTATTCCAGGGCTCATCTTGCCTTCCTGAACATCCTCTTCTCACAGACACAAATACATACACTCCTGTATGCATATGTGTGTGTATATATTTAGATGTGTGTGTGTATGTATATGTGTGTGTGTGTGTGTGTGTGTGCGCGCGCGCACGTGCTTGTAAGAAAAGGCAACTCAGTGTGAACTGCCTGCATGGGTGCTGTGTAGAATTTGTAGAATGGAGAGAGTCCCTGACATTCTGCAAGGATAGAAAAGATGGTAAAGTTAGTTTTCCTATATTTTTTAATCACTAAAATTACCACAGTGCCTCAGGAAAGAGATGGAGATGACCTTAGGTTCTCCAAACTTATTACAGTAGAACCCAAGTTCTCGTACCTCTCATCCAACTAGAAAGGCTTTGAGTAGGGATCATGTGTTGTTCAAGGACCACTGGCAGCCTTAACATGGTCAGAGAGGCTCATCTCCAGGTTGGCTGCAGGCTCGTTAATATTTTCCGAAGCAATCAAGGATGCTCAGTTATAAAGGTGGTGTAGTTTGTGGAAGGAGTACCTATAATGACAAAAGCCCAGAACCTTTGAGTATTGACTAGGTTTGCATCTAGTCATCAGAAACAGAGAATCTGTTTGTTTTTTCCCTCTTTGCTTCTTTCTTTCCTGACCTTCCCACTCCCATGAAAGATATATTGCTTAGCATTGCTTATACAAAGTTCCAGCATCTAGTCTCCATTCTAACCTAATAGAAATGGAGCTACCTATTGATTTTGTGAGGGTTATATGCTCTCCCCCCTTTCCCTGCCCGTCCTCTTTCCTTTATCTCTTTCCTTTTTTCTTTTCTCCTTTCCCCCTTTCCTTTCCTTCACATTAGAGCTCTGATTTTGGGGGACAAGAAACCTGAGTTCTAGTCCTGGCCCAGGTTCACTGTATATCTTTGGGTAATTCAGCTAACCACTGTGGACCTTCAGTTCCTAGGGAGATTACATGGGGAGATCATTCCTTGACTCTTCTTCTGAGTATAAAGGACAGAATTATAAAAATACTTTGACCTCCTGGGAGAAAACAAAAACTTGAATTAATCGGTGTTAAGTGGACACTCTTAGAACTACTATTCATTCTCATTGTAGCTCTTCTATTCTCCACTTATCATTGGTCTTTGTCCGAGTGAAACCCACCTCTGTAGTCTTTGGGTAATGGAGAGGATGAGGAAGAGCCCATGAGGGGAAGGGAGTCCCACAAGGTATGCGCCCTCTGCTCTTTGGGGGCCACATTTCTCCCTTTCGTTTACTCTGGCCTGACAGCTCCATTTCAACCCCTGCCTTGGGGATGAGGCAACTCAATATTTACACAGCCTGAGAGGCTTGCCCAGAAACTTTGTCTTTCCTTGCCCTTCCCCTGCCCACTCTCCACCTCCCACCTCAATCCCTCCCCGGTTCATGGAGAGTTCAGCCCCTGAGATGACTGGAAACACTACCTCCTCCCCCCCCACCCCCAGCTCCAGGCAGAGTCCGGTTGTGCAGGGGACTCAGTGGCTGGGGGGGGGGAAGGGCTGAGACTGGGGTCATGCCTGGGTCTCTCTGGCTTCCCTGGTCCAGTAGCTTAGGCCTGCAAGAGACA